ACACCTCAGCCAACACAATGACCCCTCAGAGGTTGTCCGGTTCTGTGTAAGGAGACCTCCCTTCAAAAACTCTCGAAAAGGAGGAGGATTCCAAGAAAAGCTGAAAAGCTGTAGAGAAACGACTTATACACGACATTATTAAAAGTTGCAAAAATCTTCATTACAAAAGCATGTGATCACTCGTGGCCCTAGAGGACTTTTCCTGGTGTATGCCTCCGAATCGGAGCAGTTCGCAACTGTATTGGAGTGCGAGCAGTCTCTGGCAGTTGCGACAAACCTCGTTGGTGAGAAAGTTCCTGTAAATGTAAAGAAAAGGTATATTTCAGGAAAATAGGGCTTATCGTATAAGAATCTTCGTAAGGAATGGAGCGCATTGTCGCTATACTGAGATTACTGTACGAACAGTGACATCGGATTATAATTCAGTCAGTCGTCCTCTCAATCCCCAAGGGAACCCTATTCGTTGTATGGCGAGGAGCTCGAAAGAACATCATCCCGATCCTTTTTTTGTTAAAGACATCGTCGTTGCCTACATGGCCCTTTCATTACTTCACTGAGGGGAATCTTTTCGGTAATAAATAATAGTTAATAGGTAATAGTAAATTAATAGTTAATAGGTAATAGTACTTATTTCTAATTACCTTCAGGTCCACCTACATCCACCAGAACAACTTGTCTCATGCACGAACCATCACATAACGTAACTTGCACATCATTTTGACCTGGTATCGACCGAATGCATTGCAATGGCATGGAGAGTTGGCAAAGAGAGAGAGCTGTGCCGACAGAAAGGAGCAAAGTCCTTATCATTGGCATGTACCTTAACTGAATCGGATATTTAGCTAAATGAAAGCTGTTTGTTGTTTTGTGGATGAAAGTGAATACAACTCGAGGCAGTTCACAAAATAATGCACTTATTAAGGGCACCGTTCTCAAAAAAATTAGGGTACCCTTTTTTGACGGGAATTGATAGAACTACTCTAGAATAAAGCGATAACAACGAAAAAAGCGCAAAAAAATGAACAAAAAGAATTACAAAGGGTCAAAAAAAGAGCTGGAAAGGGGGGTTGGACGAGTTTCACATTGAAATAACGGCGGTTAGGAAGTGTTCGGGCGAGAACACGAAGGCGACGCAATGTGTTGTCTGCAATAGCAGACGACACATTGCGTCTCTGGCAATTTGCCAACCAGCTTATCGACTTTTCACCAACTTCGCNCCAGTACGAATGTGGTGAAGGACAATTAGAACTCGTAGTCAGCCTAGCGAGGGGCGGAGGCCTCCTGTCACCCACTGTTTCTGCCCTTATTGTGCCCTATCCAGCCGTTCTCCGACCTCATTCCTGCACAAATGGTATCAGAGGGGGCGTCGAAATCAAACCCTGTGCAAATCTCCGAAACCACCTTTTCGTGAACAGTGCCTTTAAAGTCCTTAGAGCCTGCGATTTCAATAGCTTGAAATCAAACGAAATCTGTGCCCTGAGATTACCATCAGCAGTTTTTACTATAACGATGACTCTCTATGTTTTATACATCGGAATCTCTAGAAAAAGCCGAGTCTCCGGTAAATAATGCAGTTTATTTGTGCTATAGCTATTTGTTTAGTAAACTCAATGCAAGAAGAAAAGGGGCCAAAAAGAAAAGTAGTAGAGAGTAAGCTTGAGGAGTCGATCGTAGGATAAAAAAGCATGGCTGTATAAGCAACGCCGTGGCATTCATGATCGTGGCGACTGACGATGTAGAATAATTTGAATAGTTTTTTATATAGTTTTTAGGGCCATTTCTTCAACTCAGCAAACAAACTTCACCTGAGACCCTTCAAGGTAAGTGAGGTCGAAAAAAATCCTACCAGATTCGAAGGTGACACCACATTATGAACTCGAACTCAAATGAAAAATCATTTTTTAGTTGCAAGGAAGTGGAGGACTGTTTTCGATGTAATAGTAATGGAGAGAGACCTGCCACTGAAATATATGAATGTACACAAAATGCTCAGTTGAATGTTACTGGGACAGTCATTCTTTCATTACCTCGATAGTTTCAGCTCGTGGAAGGTACAATGAGGGATAGGAACACGGTTGGATCAACGGAAAAACTGGTAGATCAGCAAAAATCCTTGGAAAACAAAATCTGGAACCCTGATTTCTGAAAGATCTAAGAGTAAAAGGAGCTTGCAATGACTTCAGTGCGAGGTTGCCATGAAAAATAAGGATTTTACATTCAATGACGCTCACAAGGGCTAGAAATAATAGCACGTAATTCGTGATAATGACTCTGAGGTAATAACTCTCATGAGCTTTGAAGACACACATCAAGAGCTGGCTCCTCGATAATTGATGGGAATTAATCCGCTTCAACAAATCAAGCGCAAATTTGAAGCAGCGACTAGAGCCTAACGGCCCAAATACCGATCCAATCTCATCATCCTGGGATTTTCCTAGGTTGGTTTAGATCAAAAACATCTCTTGAATTTTGCGAACTCAGAAAATAAATCTCGAGCAATTGACGATATTATTGGAGAGAGATGATATTCTGTTGCATTTCTTCAATTAAACTTTTGATTGTGCCCTTTTTGAAATCTAATGAGTCAAATCAATAGCGATCAATTCGAATCAGAGAAACTTTCTCAAGAAGATGAATTTGAAGNGAAGTTTTTAGGGATTCAATAAGCTTCCACGAGTATTACATCTATTAAAAATGCCCGTTTCATGAAAAGCTGAAAAGGGATATTTTTGCTTGTAGTTTTGGTTATTTGTGTGGAATTAAAGAAGTGGGTAATGCCCGAATAAAGCTGAAGGTAATGTCTGGAGAGTATCAGGGAGATTATCAGGACAGAATAGTAAATGCGTCCACAAGCTGGAAAAGGTGAGTCATAGAGGGCCTAGAAGGTCTGTAAATATTTGTCATGAAGTTTCTTACTGTTTGTCGTACTCGACTTCTCAAGTGATTTCCGGCAAACGCAAGCAGTCTGTTATGCGAAACATGCTGCTGGGCGTAGCGCTAACAAAAAAGACCTTCTCAGCATAAATCGATCCTTTGGGAGTGAGCCACGCATCCAACCGTTTTGGAAGACTGAAGTCGTTCTTCGATAAAGGGAGAATTAAACCTTCGCGAATAGATAAAGAATCAAGTAGAACGAATGGGTTATCTTGCTGTCATACTGGACCTCTTACAGTCCGTTAATTTTTTAGATACCCATGCACATTTAAACTTCTACTGGGCCTGGGCCGCACAGACAATGGACTCTACAGCAAAGATCAGTTCGTTTTCGTTGGTGTACAATGTATGGATAGCTAGTACTTATGTGACGAGCTCGCTCAAATTCTATGAAGAGCTGTACATAGGAATGACAATACTGAGAGTTGTTTTTAATGTTATATCTTGGGATGACCAGCTGTAATCCGAATACTGCCTATGTTGTTGTTGTTGTTGTTGTTGTTGTTGTTGTTGTTGTTGTAGTTGCAAGCTTAACTTACATCAGGCAGCCGGTATTTGCCGAGTTTGTCTTATAACCTTCAATGCAACAGACTGGTGATAGTTATGCCTTCAGCCACATTCTGGTTATACAATCCTTTAAAAAAGGCATCTCGAATCTAACGGTAACTGTCTGCTATTGTTACAATTCAAAATGAAATATTGCACGAAACAGACGGGGGCAGTTATTAGGCCTTCCCAAGAGAACCAAGACAGAGATTTCTTGGCAGAATGACTGACCTCTACGTACATATAAGCACCTGCCTATGAAATCTCCTTGTTGTGTCATTGCATGACAACTCATTAATAGACGTGGTGCCTGCTAGCTGATGCTGATGTGTGGGAAACTCTAATTCCTGTACATCATCTTGATACTTTCAGCGTTATGTGAAAAAGCTGATTGCTGAGTCTACAACGCTCCATATAAAGAATCACTCCCACACGACGTGGCTACAGATCTTGGGAAGCTCTTCTAATCCGAAGAGAAATTCATTTTATTCTGAAAATATTTTTCGTAAAAGTTTAGGTTTAGATTTTTTATTCACAGTGAGATGGAGCCAAGTTTATTGGACTTCATTCACTTCCACCGTCAGCAGTGATAAAAGCTGAGATTTTCTTGTCATTTGCACTCGGCAAAGTTTTCAGTGCAACCATCGTGTATTGATCTGCTGCAGTATTTTCCTTCGTTTGCATGTGAGTGTAGAGCTTGTACACCACCTGCAAAAAATGAGGGGTTAAGGCTAAAGGTCTGTGTATTGGTCAATCTTGCCTTGTGTAGCGTCATGCATTCAGCTTTCTTTCACTATTGTAGGGTCATTTAAAGGCACAGTTCACGATAATTTGAAGGGCTGGAAAGCCCCACTTTTCCGCCCCTCGATCCTCGATGTCACGTCAAACGAGTGTCGAGAGAGTACAGATTGCAACTATTCGTTCTAGGACCCACACACAATCAGGTGATCGCCGGATGATAAGGCAATGTTTCTCTCCCATTCTTTTTTCCTCTGTTATTCTTTTTGCTGCCGCGATCCCTTATTTAATTTATTTAATTTCCTACCCCAAGGCTAAAAAAGGTGAGCTATTTTTGCTGTTACTAGGGTTTCTTGTTTAATTATGCCTATAAGGGAATGAATTTTTGTTGACCGTAGTAAGTTATTTGCACAAGGACCCTTGCGTACGCAATGCTACACATTATATAGCTCGTCCAGACGCCCCACTCCTCTTCATTTTTCTGGTCTCATTCTCGTCCAGGCCCCTTTTTGACGGTTTTTCGAGGCCTTTTGTCACTTTGGAAACACCGATTCACGCAGTTTTTTTCGATCTTGCCTTCCATTTTTCATCATAATCTAGACTACCCAAAATTATCGTGAATTGTTCCTTTAAAGGGTTTCTGACCTCTACAGCAACTCGAACGAGCTACGTAATGAAACTCAACCTAGCGTTTCCCATAGTCCTGATGGATTCCGGTCGTACCCACCAGAACGTTTGGTTTGTTCTAATGGAGTCTTGCGATAATAATAGTGGTAGCGGTTTCAGTGGTTACCACATATGCTTCCCCTTTGGTAATGACATGACCATGGTTGAATGTTAAACACTACTTTATCGAGTACTTTGAGAAGATAAATATTTGCTTCCATCCAACAATTAAAGCTCACCTTTCCACTTGAAGTCGGGATAAGTGAAGTTGGTCTGCCCCAGACCTCGTCAGCGTAGAGGATTAGGTCGTCAGCTGGAAGTTGAACGTGTGGGTTTATCGATGATCTATTCGAATGCAAGAGAAATTATCAAAATGGAAACCTAAGCTCCAAGCCGAAAATACAATTGACGCTTCTCGTACGTTGTCGGTGTTCATGCTCATCAACAGAGAGGAGTAGGTTGGACCATTGCATGGGAAGGGCAGCGGTGATAATCCACAGGTGAGGGTATTAAGACCGCAGCTGTCTCCCGGCCAGAATCCATTCTGTAAAGTTACACGATCAGTCTGTGAAGGAAATCCCCTAGGTGTAAAGATTTGGCCATACCAATAGGAACAGATTTTAGTGATTTGAACTTTTTTCAGGAATTCTGAACAACAATCCTATAGAAACGTTTCCGAAAAGGCTGTCAAATCCTGGTTTCTAGGCTTGATTCTGATCTGATCTGAATCTCCACTCTTAGTGTTGAGATTTGGAATTGGATAAACCACAAAAAGTGTTGAGATAGTTTCGAGTCCTTTTCAAAGTTGCTGTGTGTATTTATGACAACTTTAAGCCGCAGAGGTACCTATGAGAAGCTGGTCACTAATTGAACCCGCATCAGGGGAGAGCCTGCTCTGATAGTGGGGGCGAATTCGAAGTTACCATGATGGTAAGATGCAGGTGATACTCGCTGTATGCTGAATTTTTGTGAAAGATTGCTGAGATCCAAATTCGAATCCTTTAATTCTAAGCAGAGAGAAATGGGCCTGGACTCACTTTCTAGCATTTTCTCTAGTAGTTCCTCATCTTTTCAGCATACATTTGGTCTTGATTTCTTTAAAACTCAAGCACAACGAAAGCATCATCGTCTACTAGTGTAGATAGCTATTTATGGGTACCTTGTGATCGAACAGTAAACAAAACATCTTGCACGCTTCGTTCTTTTCGTTTCGACTGTTGGCCTACGACAGAGTGGGAGGAG